GCCTGGTTTGGGGGGGGCTGTCACCGGGCTGTGGCTGGGCAGGGGTGGGCACCCCGCAGCCCCCCCGGTGGTGGAGGACCCCGGCAGAGCCCCCATCCCCAGGGCAGGACTTTTGCGCCCACCTCATCCCACCCCCACAAATCCCCTCATCACTGGGGGCTGATGCCCAGCCTGGGGGGGCTCCCAGAGGTACCGCCCGGGCACCCTTCACCCCCGCGCTGTGCGTCCCCAGCCCTCTGCCCCCAAGATAGCGTATCTCCCCCGCCTGCAACCTTAGCCCCATGTTTACGACTCCCTCCCCTCCAAGGCCTCCTTGCTGGCACCCGGGTGCCCAGCTGTCCCAGGGGTGTCCTCCCTTCCTGCCATGCCCACAGCCCCTCCGCTGCCTATGGCCCTTGGACATCCCGGGCAAAGGTGCTTCTCCTTGGCCTTCGCTTGGGACGGTGCCCAGGATGGCTCAGCAAATGGGTACTTTGCCCTGACAAAGGCATTCAAACAGGCAGGGCCAGGGAGGTGGGCAGGGAAGGAGGGGCTGAGCCGCCACAGGGTACCTGTGCCCACAGCTGCCTGAGTTTGCTGAGAGCCTGAGCTGGTTGCTGCAAGCAGGGCTGGCCCTGCTGAGGTCTGCCCACCCAGCAAATTGGCATGAGACAGCATCAGGGCGCTGCTGCACCGGGTACCCTCCACATCATCTTTCTGAGCTCCCAAAACTGGGTCTGGGGGTCCCCCTCAGTGCCCACCCCAAGCCGCCTCTTACGTGTCACTGTCAGGTGGCTGTGGTGCACTGGCCAGCCATGGGAGCAGGGGTGCACGGCCCCGTCCGATGCAAGCCAGGGAGTGCCCCCCCAGTACTGGACTGCCCTTCTCGGTGCTGTGTCCGTGGTGGGTGGGCAGAGATACCAGCCCAGCCAGGCACTGCGGGGCGGAGGAGCCTGCGGGCAGCGCAGAAGGGGAGAGGCACTGGGCTGGCCTCTGGGCAGCCTTGCGTGGTGCTGGCAGACTTTGCCCTCCATTCGTCCAGCTGGGGTAGCACCCGTGCCCTGGGCACCCCAAGGTGCTCATTCCCATGGCCTCCAGGCTGCAGTGAGGCTCGTGAAACCACCTGGGGATTGTGGGTGAGGCTGGGTCTGGGTTCCAGTCCCACAGCCCATGCCTGGCTTTTGGGAGCCACCTGGGCACGTGCTGGGGAGGAGGGACGCCCAGCCCTCCACAGTGTTTTCCCGGCCCCTGCCGGCCCCTGCCAGGAGGGGCAGGGTCCAGCTGGAGCCTGGCACGGGCTGGTCCAAGCCAGACTGTGCTGGGGACAGCCCTGGGGACAGCTCTTGCTGCCCATGTCCACAGCCAGGGCATCACAGCAGGGCTGTAAGGCTGTGCCCTGCCATGCCTGAAGAGCCCCATCCCCACCCCATGTCCTTCCCTCCCCCCACAGATTTCACCAGGCCTGAGTGCCATGGCCATGGTGCCACTGGGGCTGGCACAGCCCCAGCCCTAAAGGTCACCCCAGGCCACAGCATCCCTCCCTGGGGACCCCATGCTGGGCAGGTGCCTGTGAGAACTCCTGGCCGCACCAAGGGTGCCGGGGTGCACACCAGCCCCGATGCCCCCCACATGCCAGGCTGCTGTGGCAGGGAGCAAATGGCCCCCGGGACAGGGGGGATTAAGCTTGACAAACTGCCCTTGTTCCCTGCGGAGCCGCTCAGGGTGATTAGAGCCCAGCTAAGACGGGCAGCGTGACACCCCCCCCCGGCCTCGGCCCGCCCGCCGC